TCTGCTCACAAAACTGAGCGGAAAACGTATGTTAGAGCACGGAGGCAGGGAGGAAAACTGGGTAGGATCGGACTGAAAGAGTTGATGTTAGGAAGGTTTCCCAGAGGAGGGGGGTGTTTGAAGAAGGCTTTGAGGGATGAGTAGGAGGTCACAAGGATGAGAAGAAAAGAGGGGAAAAAACATCTTCACTTATCTAGCTGGACAAAATTTAAAGCTGTATGACATAGAGTCTTAACGAGGACGTGGGGAAACCACTATTCTGCTATGTAGGAGGAGGTGTTAATGGTTTCCGCCTTGATGTAAATCAGTCAATCGGTGACTATTTTCTGAGAACCCGCTATGTTCCAGGCAGTGCTCCAGACACCAGGGAAATAGTGGTGAAAGACACACAGGCACCTTTTTAGGGAGTCAGAGAGCAGGCAGTAAACAGGAGACATATAATAGGAAATTATGATAAGTGCTATGAAGTAAACAGGCAAGGGGCTGAGAAAGGAATGGAAGGGTGGCTGTGTCATCAGGAAATATACTTATTTAAGAACATAAGTGTGGAATAAAAACCGTAAAAATCTCAAGCGAATTGTAGAGAAATATTAATATATAGTGGCTGGACCTTGCCCTTCCCGTAGATTTCTTCTTCCTAGTGTTTGTGACAATCTGAGCTGGGGTTTTCTTTTACTTGTTGCTGAAGGCGTCCTGAAGTCCTAGGACAAACAGGATTACTGCCTTCCTTTTGGTACTTTTAGTTGCTGGGGCTGGTAAATTTCTTGTTTGAGCTATTTTGAGTTGTTTTGTCCTACTTGAAACCTAAAACATCCTTCGTAATATAGTCTTCTTATTCTCATTTAAAGGATAAGGAAATGGGACAGCAGATAGCAAGATAATGGCAAAGGCAAGATTTGAAACTGGGTTCTTTTGGACTAAAAATCTTATTATTCTACATTAGTATGTTAGTAAAGGGTGGGTGAGTCTTTGAGAAGGGAGTGGACCAAATGTGCTGCGAAAGGCACATACATGGTGGAATATATTAGGATGAGGGATTGAAAGATGCTACGCTGCTGGCTTTGAAGAGGCAGGAAGGGGCCACAAGCCAAGGAATGCAGGCGGCTCTAGAAACTGAAAATTCATACCATAAACCATAAAAAAATCAGGTGGAATAAAAATTTAATTGTTAAAAAAATCACAAAAATACTAGAATAAAATATAGGACAACTTTTTTCATAATCTCGGGGGCAAGGAAGCCCTTTCTTTGCATGATAGTAGGTCCAAGAACTATAAAAGAAAATACAAACATATTTGAATACCTAAAAATTTAAAAATTCTGTATAGCAAAATACACCATAAACAAAACTGAAAGAGAAATAACAAACTGGGAGAAAATATTAGTAACATTTATACCAAAGGGTTAATATGGGTAATATATAAAGACTTGCTCCTATATATCAATACAAAGAGGCAGCCCAATTAAAAATGGGCAAAATACACAAATAAGCAATTCAAAGAAGAACATCAATAAATACAGAAGATCATTAATGTCACTATCAATAGGACATTTTTACTTATTAGATTAGAAATGTTAAAAAAAAGACTAATACTGAATATTTGTGAAGAAAGTAGAGGAACAGAGAAATAGGCACTCATATACACTTCCAGGAGTCGTGTAAATTGGGTCATCCTTTTCTGGAGGATTATTTAGCAATAACTACCAAAATTTTAAACATGGACATTCTATGATCCCACAAGTTTACTTCTAGGAATTCATCTTATGGAGATATTTGGCACAAGTGTCAAATAATAGATGTCCAACGATGGAAAAGAAAATGAAAACAACCTACATGTCCATTCATAGAGATCAGTTAAATAAATTCAAGAAACCCTACCTGAAATATTATGCAGCTGTTAAAAATGAGGACACATATATATTTTGCATTGTCATGGGAAAATATCCACGTTATACCAAGTGAAAAAAGTCTCTTCCAAAATTGTGTCTGTGTGGTTATACCATACAAATTGTATACTATATTTACATATACTATATTTATATTTATACTATATTTATATATTTATGTATATATATTTATGGTTATATTCATATAACCAGTTTCATTCATAAAAACAAAAAGGGAGGTTCATATTGACAGAAAAAAGTCTAGAATCTTTGGAATGAAGATTTATAGAGAGCCATAGCTTTCTTCATTTTTATATTGTCTGAACTATTCACCATCAATAGTTTTTCAACCGTGAAAGAAGTCGCAGAAGATTAGAAGAAATACCTGGGCAAAGACTGTTAAACATGGTAACAATTATCATGGATGATGTTGGTGAGCTGCAGTCCCATCTACTGCCAGTCAGATTTCCAACTGATACAGAACTTCTGGGAAGCCACTGGCCATGTGCATAATAGGGTCACTGAAAAATTCTCCCTTTGACCCCATGACCTCTCTGCCAGGATTTCACATGGGATCAGGTGCTCAGCCTAAGACTTTAGTAGAAGGGATGTTTCTAAAAGTCAAAAACTAGAAATAACCAAAATGTCCAACAGGGGACTGCCTAATACGTCAATTGAATAAACACAAACTCTGCGAAGCCCCAAAACACCTGATTGTTAAAGATTATTTAATGACATGAGTATTTAATAATATGGGTATAATGATATGAGTGAATCATGATATTTAATGATAGGGGCCCGTGATATAAAGTTAAGCAAACATAGAAGTATGCTAAACTGTATATTCAGTATCCCCAGATTTATTAAACCATGTATAATATTATATATTGTTTTAAAAATAGCAGAAGTGTAGCAACATGTTAACAGTTATCTCTGGGTAGCACTGGACTTTGGATGAAATCTTCTGGATTTCTTGGATCGTCTAAATTTTCTATAAGAAGCATGTATTTTTTTGTGTGTGTGTGTGAGGAAGATCAGCCCTGGGCTAAGATCCATGCTAATCCTCCTCTTTTTGCTGAGGAAGACCGGCTCTGAGCTAACATCTATTGCCAATCCTCCCCTTTTTTTTTTTCTTCCCCAAAGCCCCAGTAGATAGTTGTATGTCATAGTTGCACATCCTTCTAGCTGCTGTATGTGGGACGCGGCCTCAGCATGGCCGGAGAAGTGGTGTGTCGCCCGGGGTGCGAACCCGGGCCGCCAGTAGCGGAGCATGCGCACTTAACCGCTAAGCCACCGGGCCGGCCCTATTGGTTTTTATAATAAGATAATAAATGTTATTTTAACAAGGAAATGTTATACGTGGAACCTGTTCTATCCCCATAGAAGTTTGGAGTGTACCTTCTGAGTCTGACTACTTGGGCTGGAATCCAGACTCCACGACCTCATAGCTGTGACTTTGGCCCTTTCAACTCTCCGTGCCTCAGTGTCCTCACCTGTGAAATGGGACAACACAGGCCTGAACACATGGGGTGGTTGGAAGAATATAAGGAGTTCACACACACCAAGGGTTTAGAACAGAAATTGGCACAGTCAGTTGCTGAAAGCACTATCCATTCTGTATGTTTGACATGGGAAAAAATTACACGATTGATATTCTGTGCTGGTAAAAATGTAGTGGAATGATGGTCTTCACGCCCAGCTTGTACCAGGTAGCTTAGGTTCAGCCCCTCTGGAAAGCAATCTGAGAACACGTTTCAGGAATCGGGGAAATGGTTAGAGTCTTGATTCTGTTATTCCCATCCTGGGAATTAGAATTACAGAAATAACCCCCACAAATGAAGAGAGGCAGTAAGCATATAAATGCTTATTATAACATTATTCATAATTGGGAAAAGTGGTGAACAATCTGTGTCAACCAGGAGCTTAGAACAAGCCTAAATGGGGGAATGGATTTGTAAATTATTCTACACCCAGCAATGAAAGATCAATAGCCCCAATCATGATGAGTATGCAGTGTATGGGGTGACAAAGGATAATGCTCATGGTACAATGAGGGCAAAACAGAGCAGCCAAAGTTGTTTCTACACTCTGATTACAATTTAAAAAATAACGTTTATGTAAAAATGATATTTGGAAGGAAATAGGAAAAACTCGGAACAATATGACTTCTGAGGGTGGCCAAGCTGTAGATGAGTATATGGCTTTTGTTTTTTGATCCAAATTTTTCAACATTTAAAAATGTGGATATGGAATACAGAGTAAAACAAAACCAGAAAGAAATACACCCCAAACTGACTGGTGGGTCTCTCTGAGCTGTGGGATTATAGAGAATTGGTACTTTAGTTCAGACTTCTCTACACTTTCCTAATTATCCTTTGCAACAAGCACGTGTTACTTTACTTAAAATTTTTTCCCGTTACAAACAAATGCATATTATTTTTATAATAAAATATAAATGCTATGTTAAAAAATATGAGGAAAGAAAAACATCCCTTTGGGCATGAATAAAATCAGAAAATGATGCTTAATAGGGCAATTACTTTGTAAAGCATAAATCCTGGAAATGGAAAAGACAGAAACAACAGGACATAAAAACTGCTGTCAATATGGGAAACATATTCAGTGTCTAAGCCAACTGCAGATTTTGCAGTGAAATTTGTAGCTTCAAGTTTTAAAGGAAACTAACATCATCTAGCAGTTACGTTCACCTACATATATGTGAGACTTTTGCTCTAAATGGTTAATCTTTCCAGCTGTGTTTTTCTTTTCTTGAATTTTCAGGCTCCAGTTTAACAAATGACCAATAAATTTAAAAAGCTCAGAGAGACCTTATTAAAGGTATCAGGTGAAGTTGCATCTCATTTAGACCACCCCTAACTACCATTATCTGGGGACATTGTAGGGTTGAGAAATAGGGGCTGAGATCTTAGAGGGAAGCTCCTAAAATGATCAGAAGTTGTCCCAGCTGGGGGAAAACTGTGCCATCCTTCTTCTAGGAAATAAAGAAACCAACTCTCTCAATATGTGGGGTTAGCGTCCCTTTCTGGGAGGAACTTACTAGTGCTGATGAAAGCTGAACTGAACCCAACAGCAGAACCACCAATTTATTACATTCTCAGGCTTGTGTGCTCCAAGAAAAGGCTTTCTCAAAACCATCGCAGACATAGGCACTGCGTGCAGTGTGAAGTCTCTCATGTTCAGTCAGGTGTGAACTCCAGCTGAAATCCTCTTCACGCTCCTTACACGCAAAGCGTTTGCCACCCGTGTGAACCTTCTGGTGTTGAATAAGGTGTGAAATCTGGGTATAGGTTTTCCCACAGTTGTTACATTTGTACGGCTTCTCTCCAGTGTGAATTCTCTGATGCTGTATGAGGTGGATGCTCTGGTTGAAGGCTTTCCCGCATTCCTTACAGGCGTAGGGTTTCTCGCCAGTGTGAATTCTCTGATGTTGAGTGAGGGACGAGTTGTGACTGAACGTTTTCCCACACTCTTTACACTTGTAAGGTTTCTCACCCGTGTGGATTTTCTGATGCTCGATAAGGTGGGTGCTCCGGCTGAAGGCTTTCCCACACTCACTGCATTCGTAAGGTTTCTCTCCAGTGTGAATCCTCTGGTGTTGGATGAGGTGGGAAATCTGGGTGTAGGCCTTCCCACAAACCTTACACTCATAGGGCTTCTCCCCAGTGTGAATCCTCTGGTGGCGTGTAAGTGAAGAGTTCTGGCTGAAGGTTTTCCCACATTCGTTACATTTGTAGGGCTTCTCACCAGTGTGAATAGTCTGGTGTTGAGTAAATGATGATGTATGACTGAAAGCCTTTCCACACTCATTACATATATAGGGCTTTTCCCCCATGTGAATGCTCTGGTGCCTCATGAGGTGGGAAATCTGCGTATAAGCCTTCCCACACTCATTACACTCATAGGGCTTCTCACCGGTATGAATTCTCTGATGCTGAGTCAGGGATGAGCTGTGGCTGAAGGCTTTCCCACACTCAGAGCACTCGTAGGGTTTTTCTCCAGTGTGAACTCGCTGATGCTGCGTGAGGGATGAGCTGTGGCTGAAGGTCTTCCCACACTCGTTACATTTGTAGGGTTTCTCTCCCGTGTGGATTGTCTGGTGCTGAGTCAGCGAGGAAGTGTGACAGAAAGCCTTGCCACACTCGCCACATCTGTAGGGCTTCTCACCCGTGTGGACTTTCTGGTGGCGGGTGAGGTGGGACACCTGTGAGTAGAACTTCCCACACTGGTTGCATTTATAGGGTTTCTCCCCGGTGTGGCATCGCTGGTGTTTAATGAGGGAGGAGCTCTGAGTGAAGGCCTTCCCACATTCCCTGCATTTGTATGGCTTCTCTCCAGTGTGGATCCTCTGATGCTCGGTGAGCGACGAGCTCTGAGTGAAGGCCTTGCCGCACTCCTTGCAGGCATAGGGCTTCTCTCCCGTGTGGATGATGTGGTGCTGGATGAAATACGAGCTGTTGCTGAACGCCTTCCCGCAATCGTTACACTTGTAGGGTTTCTCTCCGGTGTGAATTCTCTGGTGGAGAAGATAGTCCGAATGGTAAATGAAGGCTTTCCCACATTCTGTGCAGTTAAACGGCTTCTTTTCCACAAAGGTCCTTTGGCGTTTCAAGCTCTTTCGTGGCCCATTCCATTTCTGAGGCCTCTCTCCCCTGGGCACTCTCTGCTTCCTTATGAAGGGGGAGGTCCGCCTGAAACTTCTCTCAAGCTCGTTACAGCCAAGTCTTCTCTCCCCACAGGTGTTTCGCTTGGGAGTAGCAAACAAACACCTCAAATGTCTCTCCTGCTTTCCCTGGTCCTCCAGTTGATGGCCACACGTCCAGGAGTCCCCCAATTTGGCACCTCCAAGCACGGCCCTTAAAATTCCCTCCATCTTTCCCACGGGGGAAGCTGCCCCTTCAGAAATACCCTTTTTTGGAATTGTCTCCTGGGTAGCTGCAGAGCTTGTCTCCAAATCTGAAAGAAATGGAAAATATGAGTACCGTCTGTTCCAGGACAAAGGAAGCTGATTCTTTAGAAGTGGTACTGTAAACTCAAAAAGAAACATTTCAAAGTTTATGTTGCATGAGGTAGATAGATTCACGTTGTGACATGAAAGGATGGCCTCCATATACTCTAAAAATGAAGAGAACCGAGTTGCAAAACCATTTATGTGCACAGCGGTTTATTAGCCATAATATATAATCTATTTTTACAAGTCAATAAGAGGGCCGGCCCCGTGGCTTAGCGGTTAAGTGCATGCGCTCCGCTGCTGGAGGCCCGGTTCAGATCCCAGGTGCGCACCGATGCACTGCTTCTCCGGCCATGCTGAGGCTGCGTCCCACATACAGCAACTAGAAGGATGTGCAGCTATGACATACAACTATCTACTGGGGCTTTGGGGGAAAAAAATAAATAAAAAACAAGTCAATAAGAAAAAAAGAAACAATCTAATAAAATAGTGAAACTAGAATAGGAGTAGACATTTTGCAGAAGAAAAGCAAATGGCTGATAACTATGTGATAAGATGCTCCACATCATAATAGTCTAACAAATCAAATTACTCAGATGCTATTTGACTTTTTTTTTTTTGGTGAGGAAGATTGGCCCTGAGATAACATCTGTTGCCAATCCTCCTCTTTTTGCTGAGGAAGATTGGCCCTGGGCTAACATCTGTGCCCATCTTCTTCTATTTTGTGTGTGGGATGCTGCCACAGCATGGCTTGATAAGCACATAGGTCTGCGCCCAGGATTCAAACCTGTGAACCCTGAGCCACCAAAGTGGAGTGCATGAACTCAACCACTAGGCCACGGGGATGGTCCCTATTGGACACTTTTTAGATAGGAAAATATGAAAAATATCCAATGTTGGCAAGCGAGCATGGTAGAGGCATTCTCACATGATGTTGGTGGGAATGTGCCAGGACAGAGTTAACACAGAAGGTCTATTTTACTCAGTTTTTGTTTATCTCTGTAACTATGGCAATGACCCTCAGCCAAGCTCTCAGCACTAAACTCCTGGGATGTTTACACAGTTACTGGTTAGTGATGTTTTTCTGTATGCTCGAGACCACGGGTCAAGTATCAGTACATGGGTCAATGTGGTAGGCTGTCAGCATTGTTACTGTGAATAGGAATATTCATGACGTGCACCTGGTGCCTGGTTTGGGGTCCTCACCACGGCTGGTCACGTAACAGGTGTGTGCATACATGACCAGCCTCTTTCAAGCACTCTGGACCCTAAGACTCAAGTGGGCTTCCCTGGGTGAAGACATCTCACATGTGTCTCTGCAGTTCACATCCACATGACCCCAGAGAGAGAGGATGACTTGGAAGCCTGCACATGACCTCTGTAGTCTTTGCCAAAGTATACATTCGTTCTGGCTGTTCCTGTATTATATACTTTGCTGTAACAAATCTTAGCTGTTGAGTACACCTTGTTGTTGAATCATGTAAATCCTTCCAGAAAAATCACCAAACTAGTGGAGGATCGTAGGACTCCCCAGAGACATGACAAGTAAATGCTATATGGGATTCTGGAAATAATCCTGGTGCCATTGGATTAGGTAATGCTTTCTCAGATATGACATCAGAGGCACAAACAACAAAAGAAAAAATAGATAAATCGGACATCGTCAAAACTAAACCTTTTGTGCTTCAAAGACACTACCAAGAAAGTGAAAAGACAGCCCACAGAATGCAAGAAAGGGCCGGCCCTGTGGCATAGTGGTTAAGTGAATGCACTCCGCTGCTGGTGGCCCGGGTTCAGATCCCAGGTGTGCAGCGACACTTGACTTGTCAGGCCATGCTGTGGCAGCATCCCATATAAAGTGGAGGAAGATGGGCACGGATGTCAGCCCAGGGCCAGTCTTCCTCACACACAAAAAAAGAATGCAAGAAAATTTTCATAAATTATATATCTGACAAAGGACTTGTATCTATAATACATAAAGAACTCTTACAACTCAATAATAAGAAGACAAATAACCCAATTAAAAATGGGCAAAGGGGGTCCGGCCCGGTGGCACAAGCAGTTAAGTGTGCACGCTCTGCTGCGGCAGCCCGGGGTTCGCCAGTTCGGATCCCAAGCGCTCACCGACGCACCGCTTGGCAAGCCACCCTGTGGTGGCATCCCATATAAAGTGGAGGAAGACGGGCACGGATGTTAGCCCAGGGCCAGTCTTCCTCAGCAAAAAAAACAGAGGAGGATTGGCAGATGTTAGCACAGGGCTGATCTTCCTCACCAAAAAAAACAAAAACAAAAACAAAAACTAACGCTCCTTTTAAATTAAAAAAAAAAAACTTGGACTTGAATGTTCATAGAAGTATTATTCATAATAGCCAAAAAGAGGAAGCAACTCAAATGTCCACCAACTAATGAATAAATAAAATGTGGTATATCCATACAGTGGAATATTATTCAGCCATGAAAAGGAATGAAGCACTGATCCATGCTACAACATAGATGAACCTTGAAAACATTATGCTCAGTGAAAGAAGCTAGACACAAAAGGACAATATATCGTATGATTCCATTACATGAAATGTCCAGCATAGTCAAATCTAGAAGGTAGATTTATGGTTGCCTGAGGTTGGGAAGATGGGAAGATAGGGAGTGATGGCTAAGGGGTACAGGGTTTCTTTTGGGAGTAATGAGAATGTTTTCAAATTGACTGTGGTAATGGAAGCACAATTGAGTGAATAGACTAAAAAAAACTGAATTGTACCCTTTAAATGGTGAACTGTACGGTAAGTGAATTACATCTCAATAATACCATTAACTAAATGAGATTATAGGGGGCTGGCCTGGTGGCATAGCAGTTAAGTTCACGCGCTCCTCTGCAGTGGCCCGGGGTTCACAGGTTTGGATCCCAGGTGCGGACCTACACACTGCTTGTCAGGCCATGCTGTGGCGGCGTCCCATATAAAGTAGAGGAAGATGGGCAGGGATGTTAGCCCAGGGCCAATCTTCCTCAGCAAAAAGAGGAAAACTGGTAATGGATGTTAGCTCAGGGCTAGTCTTCCTCACAAAAACGAAAAAAAAGATTATACAGGAATTTCACTTTCTACATTACATATTTGAAATGTTTTATTTATTTTAAATGTTAAAAAGTAATTTTTTACTAGAAAAGTATATATTCCTCCTTCCCTTGTTCCTACACTGTTTCGAATTGTGAATCCTTCTAGAGATTTCCTACATACCGAAGTATGTGTGAACGTGCATGTGTGTATGCGTGGTGGGATGGAGGGTTTTAAATTTATTATTCACTTTTTTATTTTAGTAAAATACACATAACATAAAATGTACCCTCTAAACCTTTTTTTTTTTTTTGGCTGGGGAAGAGTCACCCTGAGCTAACATCTGTTGCCAATCTTCCTCAATTTTGTATGTGGGCAGCTGCCACAGCATGGCCACTGACGAGTGGTGTAGGTCCCCACCCAGGAACCTAACCCTGAGCTGCCGAAGCAGAACGTGCCGAACTTAACCTCTAGGCCACTGGGGCTGGCCCCCACTTAAACCATTTTTAAGTGTACTGTTCAGTTGCAAAAAGTATATTACATTGTTGTGCAACCATCACCACTATCTATCTCTAGAACTTTTTCATCTTCCCAAACCGAAACCCTGTCCCCTTTAAACAATTAAGTCCCTGTTCCCCCTCCCCCAGCCCCTGGCAACCACCATTCTACTTTTCTTAACGAATTTGCCTACTCTGGGTACCTCATGTAAGTGGAATAGTATATTTGTCATTTTGGGTCTGGCTTATTTCACTTAGCATAATGTCTTCAAGATTCATCCATGTTGTTATTATTTATTTTTGTAATTAAAAAATACAGTAAAGATATTGGAGTGAAAATACTTGAAGGAACTACATTAAAATGTTAAAAGTGAATTTTTTTTTTAGCGATAAGCAGGATTATGGGGAGATTTTCATTTCCTGCTTTATTCTTATTTAGATTTCCAAAGTTTTTATGATGAACACATATAACTTTTATTTGATCAAAGATATCCATGAATATTAAATGTATATGAGGCTTTAACATCACAATCTTGCAATTTGGAGAAAGGGAGGTGTAGAGAGGAGATGAGGAGTTGGAAGCAAAACCATCTGGAATTTGTTGAAGGGGGTTGATTTTCTGATGCTGGTAGATTTGTTCATGGGACACTCATTAATTGCATAATTATGTGCCAACCAAAACATCTGACCCTTGCCCTCCAAGAGGTGGGGGGGGCAGGCTTATCCTCAGACATTTTGGACATATCCTCCTCATCTCCTCAGCATCGCTGCCTTTGAAGAACCACCTCTCCCCTTTCCGTGTAGTCTTGGTGGGGCTGTTAATCATAGTCTCCCCGACCCCCCACCCCAGGAGTGGGCACGACACCCAGGCTGGCCAATCAGAAAACCCCATCCCCCAGGCCATAATAATTGGTTCAAGATCCAACACAGCCAATCAGGGTCTTCCCTGAGACTGACATATGGTGTTGCTAGGCAGAATATAAGTTTGAGACTTTGGGCAGCCATATTGACTGCCACTTGGAAAGGGCTGAAGACAGAATCAAGCCAGAAACAGACAGAATCAACATACGGGGAAGGGAGGGAAGAAGAGAGAGAACCAGCGACAACACCATTTATGGCCGGAGGTCCATCGATGACTAAAGTCTTGCACCGCAACTCTTCCCACTTATACGGGTCAAAAAAAATCTAACTTTGCTTAAGCTATTTTGATTTTTTACACACACAAGAGTTCTTATTAATACATCAGGTAATTCAATAATAGTAATAGAATAATAATTATTATTGTTGCAATACATAGTATTTATTAAATGCTTACTATGTGCCAGGCACTGTCCTAAGCTTGTTCTATCAACTAATTTAGTCCACAAAAAAATTCAGTGAGGTGGGTACTATCAGTGTGCCCACTTTGCAGATAAGGAAATGGAGGAACCCAGAGGTTAAATCACTTACCTACAGTCACACAGCCTGTCAGTGGCAGAGCCGGGATTTGAACTCAGAGAGCCTGGCTCCAGAGCCCATACTCTTAACCACAAAGTGAACAAGTGCAGTAATGGCAGCTCAAGCAAGGAGCTGTGACAACACCGAGAAGGGGAAGTTCACTCAGCCTGGAAGTCAGGGAGGGCCTCCTGGAGGAGGTGAGCTATAACTTTCATCTTGAGGAACATGAAGGTGTTTGCCAGGCAGACAAAGCATGGAAGGGTGTTCCAGGCAGAGGGAACAGCATGTGTGAAGGCCCAAAGGTGGGAACACACATGCAAGTTCAGGTAGGGACAGGTGCTTCAGGGAGGTCAGGGCGTGGGGTGCAACCACAAGTGGATGGTGATGAGAGATGAGGCCAGAGACAGCACAGGCTGGACCACACAGGGCATCGAGTGCCAGGCTTAGGGACAAGGCCTTTGACTCAGGGGCACTGGGGAGCCATGGGAGGGCTGTGAGCAGGAGAGGGACGAGATTAGCTCTCAGTGTAGGAAGACCCCTCTGGGGCTGTGTGTGAGATGAACCGGAGGGTGTAAGGCGGAGGCTGGGAGGCCAGGGAGGAGGCTGGGGTGAGGGAAGCTAAGGCCTGAGCCAGCGCCGTGGGGGAGAGAGGAGGGGACTTGGCAAAGTTAGGGGGCAGGAGGGGCAGGACTGGGGACCGATGAGCCAAGGTGGGTGAAGGGGAAGGAGGGGAACAGTCCTGGCCCCACAGCAGGGTAGACAGTGATGGAAACAAAGATGCTTCCACACCCCCCTCTGATGGAGCTCGTGGGCCAGTGGGGACAAAAATCTGGCTTCTTCCTGTCCCCCAACATGTCAGGCCAGGCCCCACTTCTGGGTCTTTACACAGGTGATTCCCAATAAATAATCATAACAATAACCATCGTAGCCTATTCTGACCTATTCTGTCACTGTGTGCCACACTGTGTGTGTTAACTCATTGATTCCTCCCAAGGAATAGTGTACTGTTATTATCACCATTTTTCAGATGAGGAACTTGAGGCACAGAGGGGCTAAATGACTTGCCCGAAAGTCACAGAGCCAGGAAGTGGTGCAGCTGGGATTTGAACCCAGAACCCACGATTATGGCCCATGTCTTACGACGCTGCCTCATTCTTGAATGAGCATCACGGATCACGCAGACAAGATAGGAAGACGGCTTGCACCCGCTGGACAGCCTCACCCACCTGGACAGGTAGCTCGCCAGGCTTCTCTCTCTTCCATCCTGGGCTCTTCCCCTCGCTCCAGACGGGAGATCACATCGGGTTTGGACCCAGGAAGCCCTGCCCCTGGGAAAGACACGAGACTTGGCTGTGGGTGCCACGGCCACAGGGAGGTCTCAGGGCTGGGACCCGGGCCCCGGGTCTGCAGGGGAGATGCATACATTGGGTGCCTAACGATTGGAAGCTCTAATGGTTAATGCCAGGCCTGTTTATTGAGTGCCTACTACATTCCAGAGATAGCCTGAGGCCTGACATCACCGTCTACGGCTCCGGCTCTGGGCTGTTCAAGTATTTTTTTTTTTTGTGAGGAAGATCAGCCCTGAGCTAACATCCATGCCAATCCTCTTCTTTTTTGCTGAGGAAGACCGGCTCTGAGCTAACATCTATTGCCAATCCTCCCCATTTTTTTTCCCCCAAAGCCCCAGTAGATAGTTGTATGTCATAGCTGCACATCCTTCTAGTTGCTGCATGTGGGACGCGGCCTCAGCATGGCCAGAGAAGCGGTGCGTCAGTGCGCGCCCGGGATCCGAACCCGGGCCGCCAGTAGCGGAGCGCGCGCACTTAACCGCTAAGCCACGGGGCCGGCCCCTGCGCTGTTCAAGTTGAGTGCGAAATACACACCACATTTCGAAGACGTAATATTGAGAGAAATGTAAAATATCTCCTTAACTGTAATAATTTGTATATTGATTGTGATTTCCACATGTGTCGAAATGATCATATTTCGGATAGACTGGGTGAAACAAAATATGCTAGTAAAATTAATTTCATCTGTTTCTTTTTACTTTTTATGCCTGCTGTCTTTGAGATGACTAATTTCTCTCTTCCTATAGTGGGTTGAACAGTGTTCCCCCAAAATTACATCCACAGGAGCCTCAGAATGTGACCTTATTTGGAAATAGAGTCTTTGCAGATATAATTAGTTAAGATGAGGTCCCATGGGATGAGGGAGAGACCTAAATCCAGTGGCTGGTGTCCTCATAAAAAGAGGAGAAATGAGCCGACACGGTGGCCTAGTGTTTAAGTTCACGTGCTTTGCTTCAGCAGCCTGGGGTTCACGGGTTCAGACCCCAGGCACAGACCTATGCACCGCTCATCAAGCCACGCTGTGGTGGCGTCCCATACACAAAATAGAGGAAGATGGGCACAGATGTTAGCTCAGGGCCAATCTTCCTCACCAAAAAAAAAAAAAAAAAAGAAGAGGAGAGACACAGGCTCACAAAGAGGGAAACAGGCCACGTGAAGATGCAGGTAGAGACTGGGGGGATGCAGGAACAAGAAGAGGACACCAAGGGTAAGAAGGAGTTGGGACAGGCAGTGCCCAGGACTGGCCTGGTGACTGGGTGGGCGGGAGCCTGTCCTGAGATGGGGGACCCGGAGGAGGAGTGGGTCTGGGGGCACATGGTGAGCCCAGTGGGGACAGGGAGTACAGGGGCCAGGACCTCCCCAGGGAGGTGTTCTGAAGGCCACCAGCTGCAGAAAGTTGGAGCTCAAGGGCCAGACTGGGGGGACCTCACTCTGTACCTGCAAGTTGTGCAGAAAAAGGTTAACACGGCAGGCTGGTGCTCTCCCTGGAAAGGCCTGTTTGCAAGGCGGCCCTTGCTGAGATCTGGGGACCCAGATTTCCGGAGGGTTCCAGCATTCTATGACTGACAAGAGGGGCTCCCCGTGCCCAAACTGTTTATGCTGAACACTTGCTTTCCTTCGGGGAGTCTGGAATTTTGGTACGTGCCAGGCAGAGGATGCTGGCGTGACCGGCCCTCAATAAAACCCTGGGCGCTCAGTCTCTCATGGGCTTCCCGGTAGACAACACTTCACACGTGTTGTCACAGCTCCATGTGGGGGGAGTTAGGCTGGGCCTGGGTGACGTCACGGGGAGAGGATTCTGGAAGCACGCGCTGGCCTCCCCCTGACGTCGCCCCATGCACCTCATCCCTTCGCTGACTGCTCTGCGTCCTTTCGCTGTGACGAGTCAGGGCGTGAGCATGATGATGTGCTGAGGCCTGTGGTCCTCCTAGCGGATCACTGAGCCTGGGAACAGTCGTGGGGACCCTGACACAGAAGTTTAAGCTGAGTTTTCCATGAGTTTGTCCAGTGAAAGTGCGTGCGTGAGGAGGGCTGAGGATAGAGCCTTCGCCCCACCATAGCTCACGGGGAGAAGGAGAGACAGGGGAGCCAGAAAAGAAATTGAGAAGCGAGAGATGGAGGGAGCAGGACAGACAGCCAGAGACGAGGCTGGGGAGGGGTCCGGGGAGAGGACGAGGCCTGAGCAGGGCAGGGCTGCGGGACGGAGAGGAGGGGACGGGCAGAGAGAGTCCAGGCCGGAGCTGGGCCTGATGGGCTGTCGGTGAGGGGAAGAGAGGGTGAGGATGGTCTGGGGACTGTGGGGGTCGGAGGAGGAGGAGCAGTCAGTGTGGAGACGCTGAGCTCAGGGTGAGTGCAGCGGATGTGAGGGGCCTTGCTGGGGGGGCAGGAGGCGGGTGCGTGGACAAGTGTAGGACTCGGGAGACATATTTGGGGAACAGCATTTATGCGCTTTGGGGAGAAGATTCCAAGATGGAGCCTGTTGATCGGAGGACATTCAGGGAGCACTTGGAGCCCGAGATTCCGGAACGGTCGCCCCACGTGGAAAGGGCAGCATGAGAAGAGGGCGGGGGCACAGGTGGAAGATTTTGTGGACAGCCAGAGGGCTCGCCTGGGGACACTGGGACTATAGGAGAACCCTCGGAGAGACAGAGAGACAAACAGAGGCTAGCCGGGAGGGACTGGTGACAGGAGCAGAGAGGGCACCATGTGACCCCAGTGACCGCCCACAGTCAAGCAGAGGGTGGGCACAAAGGAGATGAGGGCAGAAGGGGCATCATGCCTCCTCCTGGGAAGGCAGGGGCGGGGCCTCACCCAGCCAGAGAAGGTTCTGGTAGTTTTCCAGCATCACGTCCCGATACAGCTCCCTCTGGCCAGGCCCCAGCCAGCCCCACTCCTCCAGGGTGAAGTCCACAGCCACGTCCTTGAAGGTCACTGATTCCTGCAAGGGCCAATATTACACAGTGGAGGGGCACGTCCTTCCAGAACTCTGGGGCGGCAGAGGTCACAGGTCAAGAGCCTATCACGTGAGCTAGAACATTCTGACTTGGCAGATTTGGAAAGACTGAATCAAACCAGCCCACGGGAATGTAAAAAGTCTAGGGCAGTCACTAGCCCACAGGCACCTTGGTAGAAAGTAGAACAAGGCCCCTCTTTCACACAACTCTTTACTGCCACCTGTTGGAAAACTGTTATGATACATCAATTATTTTAGTATATGACAGTTTGCTGCCATCTGTATGAAAATTGCCATAATAAATATATCAATGTACGAGGTATAAGGTGCAAAGCATGCCACTGAGATGAGACAACCTTGTGCAGTGCACAACCTACTCACCTGTACATGACAGCCCTAAGAAACACTTCTTTAAAAACTATCAAGCCATTGTGTGCAAGAGCTATTCCTAAGTGGCACTCCATCCCAGGCCCCAACTCTGATCCCAATTCCCATTCCTGACTCCAAAGATAAGGTTCAGGGGCGAAGCAAAGCCATCTACTTCCCACTTCACCCCGTAACCGAAAGGCTGCTGAGCATTAGATGATTGACTTTTAGACTGTGTCATAACGTCCCAGCTCAGAGCATCCTGCCACCCCTGCCTGTCCCCTTCTCTCCCCTCCCCTCCCAGCCCCAGAGCTCCTCCCACCACAGTCTCTCTCCCAGTACCGGGAGGGGCAGAAGATCTTCAGGCCACAGGCAGATATGGGGATGGCCCTATGGGAGTGTCCACAAAGTCATCTTGGGGAGGAGGGAGCCCAGACTCACCTGGTCCTTGGCTGTCAGGGTCCTGGTGGCCATTGCTGGGTCCTGGCACACACCTCCAGGAGAAAGGACCAGGCCTGAGTCTGCAGAGCTGAGGAGGAGACCAGAGCAGAGAGAGGTCAGTTCTGGCCCAGACAGACAGACACTTTCCCAAAGACGCCTCATGACAGCGGGGGCCCTGGTCTCCTAAGAGCCGGAGCAAAGGCTCAGGACAGGCTCCCCGAGGCCGCCATCCTGTGACAACCACCACTAGCAGTCAAGAGGTTCAGGTCACTGCACTGCCACAACAGCCCTCCAAGAAGGAACTACAGTCATCCCCAGATGGGGAAACTGAGGCACAAGAGGTCAGAGCCCTTGCTCAAGATCATAGAGATATCAAGTGTCAGAGTGGAATTTGAACCCAGAAGTCTGGCCACAGAGCCGACCCCTCCATTTTTTATTATAATCTTTCTTATTGTGATAAAATACACATAATGTAAAATATACCATTTTAGCCATTTTGAAGTGTACAATTCAGGGCATTTAGTACATTCACAATATTGTGCAACCATCACTACTATCTAGTTCCAGAACATTTTCATCAGCACCCTAAAAGGAAACCCTGTACCATTAATCAGTCACCCCCAAATCTCCCTGTTCCCCCCTCCCCCCATGCCAGCCCCTGATAATCACTAATCTTTCTGTCTCAACGGATTGCCTATTCTGGACATTTCATAGAAATGAAATTCATATAAATTATACAATATGTGGCCTTTTGTGTCTGGCTTCTTTCACTTCACATGACATGTTCAAAGTTCATCCATGTTATAGCACATATCAGTGCTTCATTCCTTTTCGTGGCTGAATAATATTCCATTGTATAGATGGATCACATTTAGCAGAGTTCCTTCCATCTGTCTTACAAATCCTATTTAAGGATTCTGGACTTTTGCTTAAGATGTTGTTTGAAGAAAGGTTCCATCTGCTGAAATAAAGTTTAAGAGTCCCTGCCAAAGAGAAGTTGGTCTTCAGACTGTGGTCCCCCCCATTCATTCATCAAACACCTCTGAGCCCCATGGAGTGACAGGCTCCATTCGGGGTTCTGAGGACAGAAAGATGAGTAGATGTGGCTCCACCCTCAAGGGGCTTCCTGCCTCGGGGGGGGACAGGCCTGGACACAGACCAGGCAGTGGGCTGAATAATGGCCCCAAAAGATATCCCTGGGATGACCCTGTGATGTGATTAAGTTAAGCATCTTTAGATGGGAAGATTATCCTGGATTATCCGGGTGGGCCCTAAATGCAATCATAAGCATCCTTATAAGAGGGAGGCAGAGGGATATTTGATGTGGAAGGGAAGGCCGTGTCACAGAAAAAGAGGAGCAGAGTCAGAGAGAGAAGACAATGCCTCTGGCTTTGAAGCTGGAGGAAGGGGCCACAGCCAAAGAACGCAGGCTGCTCTAGAAGCCGGAAAAGGCAAGGAAACAGATTCTCCCCTAAAGCCTTCGGAGAGAGCACGGCTCTGCCGACACCTTGATTTTAGCCGAGTGAAATCAGTTCCAGACTCCTGACGTCCAGAACTGTAAGAGAACACACCCGTGTTGTTTGAAGCCACCAAGTTTGTGGTCATTTGTTACAGCAGCAAAGGGAAACTAATACAGTCCAGAATTAAAAAGATTGAGAGCCGCATGTGTTTCTAGGCAAACAGCCACACCTACACCCAGGTACACAGGAACACAGGCACCTGAAGGCTGAAGCCAGCAGGCGACATTTTGATGAGGAAATGAGGAACAGAGTCTGACAGAGTCTTAACTAGCTCCCCACAAGTCACTTACTAGTTCCAAAAAGAAGAGGGAGAAACCTGGCAGACACCACTTTAAGCCAAGTGATCAAGGTTGGCGTGACCAGCGATGGCCAAACCGACATCATGGGCTCCTGATCTGAGAAGGGCACAGCATTGCTCCTAAAGTATTTCTGCCAAAAAACCTGAATCTAATCATGAGGAAACATCGAGCAAACCCAAACCGTGGAACATTCCAGAAGTACGCGGTCTGTATGCTTCAGAATCACCAAGATCATGAAGGTCAAGATTGAAGAACTCTTCCAGGCTAACAGAGACTAAAGAGCCTGACAATGAATGCAGTGTGTGATATGGGATTTTCTTTTGCCATTAAGGACATTATTGGGACAATCAGCAAAATCTGAAGAAGGTCTGTAGATTCGCTCATAGTATTGTATCGATGTTAATTTCCTGATGTGATCATGGTGCCATGGTTTTGGAAGAAAATGACCTTGTTTTTAGAAAAAACAGAGACTCGGGGGGGTGGGGCGCAGAGACCCAGAGCAAGGGGGACAGAGACTCGGGGAGGTGGGCAGAGACATACAGAGATAGGGGAGCAGAGACCCAGAGAGAGAGAGGGAGACAGAACAGGGGTTGGGGTGGTGGAGGCAGATCAGAGAGAGGAGATGAGAGACCCAGAGAGAGGAGAGCGGATGCTCAGGATACGGAGGACAGAGACCGAGGGCGCGACTGTGCAGAGTACATCGGGGCTTTCCGGTCGGGCATCCCTGGATGTGATCCCAGGCGACCACTTATTAGCATTGTGACCTGGGAGAGTGTTTCTTCACCTGTGAAGTGAGGAAAGGTACATTCTTTTCCCTCCTAGGAGATCGCAGCAGTCTTGCGCTCGGCCGGACTCCTGGCAAACAGCAGGCGCTCAATTCCTGCGCGCTGAGACCGTCCGACTCGCGAGGATGGCAGGGGGGCTCTGGGGCCGACTCGCGAATGACAGGCGGGGGCGAGGCACCGCCCACCGCGCCCTTCCCCCTCCCACCCAGGCAGGACTGGGCCCGCCCCCTGAGCGCCCGCCTGCCTGTCTGGCCCAGTGCGCACCCACCCGCTTCCGCCCGGGTCCGCCAGGTCGGGACTCACCTGTGCGCCCCCACGGGTGGCGCAGGGCGGCCAGTCCTTCCCTCCCTCCGGCGGGCCGCGGAATGCGCCTGCGCGCTAGCTGTCTCGGCACTGTAAGTCCTGGTACGTACTTCAAACTCGGCTTGGCAGCTGGACTACATTTCCCAGAAACCATTGCGGCTCACGCTCCTCTCGGCGGAACCCTCTGTGCGGGGGAATGCTGGGAAATGGAGTCTGGGAGTAGGCTGTGGGGCGGCAGAAAGAATGCTCTAAATACACAGCGGCTTTGCAGCTGGAGGAAACATGGTGTTTGGGAAATGTCTGGCTTCACGGGCACCGCGAATATTCCCATTTTAGCCAGTCTTTTCAATGCTTTCCATAGGAGGCGACGTCATAGTCTGTTTAACCTATCTAACGCAAATTTCTCCTACCATAGCTCAAGTCTTCAGGACGCATGCAAGTTTGCCCCATCTAAACTGATGAATGAATTGAGTCACTTAATCACTCAATTTCTGGGGCATCTGCCTTCCTGTTTGCCTCAGTTTCACCTATCACCTCTTAAAGGGTAGTGTGGTAGAGGAAATAGACCCCTAGTGGAAGCTGGGAGATGTGTGTCCAGGAATGCAAGGATGGTTCAGTATTAGGCTATTATATAATTTGCCTATTGATGTATCAAAATAATGCAATCATATCCATAGATATGAAAAGGGTTTTGAGAACATTCAGTAATCAGCCATTTCTATATAAACTTAATAAATTCAGAACAAGCCCATATTGAACAGTAATGACAACAATCTTAAGGAGTTACTGGCTTCTCCTTGTTCTTAATTATATACATATAATCAAAGCTCCAAATCAGGCTTAATGGTAAAACACCAAAAGATTCCCCATTAAAGTCAGAAACAAATGTCCACCATTACCACTTTTGGAAGAACTAGCAATGTAATCAGACAAGAGAAAGAAAATACATCATTGGAACAGAGAAGTCCGAGTTTTCATCCTTCTTTGAATATGATATGATTGATATCTTGGAATCAGAGAATCAACTGAAACACTAAGATAAACACTAAGATAATTCTGTAAAATTACTGGGTACAAAGTTAATCAATAAAAACCAATAGGTTTTCTCTTTTCAAACAAGAATTATGAGGAATCTAATGAAAAAGAGGTTATTTGAATTTTAGTGCGTATTTTCTTGGTAGATTTTATCTCTCTGTGATCTTGGACAGTTCTCTTCCACTCTCTGCACCTAGATTTTCTTCTCTGTACAGGCATACCTCGTTTAATTAGGTATTTACAAATACCTTTATTACAAAGGTAAAGCTTTGCTTTATTGTGCTTTGCAGATGTTGCATTTTTTACAAGATGCTCCACCAGCAAAAGGACTATGACTCGCTGAAGGCTCAGATGATGGTTAGCATTTTTTTTTTTAGCAGTAAAGTATTTTTAAATTAAGGTATGTAGGGCCGGCCCCATGGCTTAGCGGTTAAGTGCGCGCGCTCCGCTGCTGGCGGCCTGGGTTCGGATCCCGGGCGCACACCGACGCACCGCTTCTCCAGCCGTGCTGAGGCCGTGTCCCACATACTGCAACTGGAAGGATGTGCAGCTATGACATACAACTATCTACTGGGGCTTTGGGGGAAAATAAATAAATAAATAAAATCTTTAAAAAAAAAAGGTATGTATATTGTTTTTTAAAACACAATGCTATTGCACACTTAAGAGTACTCCAGTATAGTGTATATATAGCTCCCATGTGCACTAGGAAACCCAAAAATTGATGTGACTCACTTTTTTGCAGTATTTAGTTTATGCAGTGCTCTGGAACTGAACCCACAATATCTCAGAGGTATGCCTGTAATCCCTCATTGGAATAATGTGTGGCAGAGATTGGATAGTTCTTCTCCAAATCCTTTCTCCTACTTCCTGTGCACATAGCTGGACTACATTTCCCAGCTTCCCTTGCAATTTGGAGTGGTCATGTGACTAAGTTCTGGCCAATAAAATGTGAGACATGACCCGCATGCCATGCCCAGACCTGGCCCATTAAACCTTCCCACTTGTCAAGTTCCACAGTCTTTTCCCTTCTGCTAATGCTGATGAAGACTGTGCCCCTGGAGGTCACATGTTGAAGATGGAAGGAGCCTAGGTCCCTGAATGTCCATTGGAGGAGGGCCATCTCCAATCAGAAACAGGAGAACAAAAAGTTATTTTCAATTATACGGACTCAGGGGATCAGTTAAATAAATGGTGGTACGTCCCTCCCATGAAACGTTATCGAGCCCTCAAATAATTAAGACGACCACACGATAACATGGGGAAATGCTTGCAAACGAACATTAAAAGAACAAAAGTAGCAAAGTTAAACATCTTTCATGTTTATAGTGATATAAAATACATGTGTGCACGTGAGTAAAAGCTAGAGGGATCATCGCCAAGATGAAATAACAACAGCTGTCGCTTATTGACAACATGCAGTGAGCATTGTTAGCTTTATTTAACTCACACAAAGCCCCAGGAAGGTGTGTCAGGCAGCCCCGGGGAGGCTTTTGCAGCCTCGTGGCTCAGAAACAAGGCCGGCACTGGCAGGTCCAGGGGAACCCCTCTTCTTGCTGCCAGGCCCCCCAGCTCTGCTGCCATCTCCACGCCCATGAACTAGGCCCTGGCTCAGGCCTTGTCCTCTGACCCTGGAACCTCACTCCAGTCTCATCCCAAACCTCCTGGCATCCAGTGTCTCCCCTCCAGTCTGTCCCCCACACAACCCCAGAAAAGTCTGTCTACACCCCAGAGCAGAAAGCCCTTCCCCTGGCTCAGCATCCTCAGGAAAATGTCCAGGCCCTAGCCTGGCTGGCACTCAAAGTCCTGTGAGCCCTGGGCCCGCCTTGCTTGACTTCATGCCACTCTGTCTTAGTCAGCTCGGGTGCCATCACAAAATACCATCGACTGAATGGCTTAAACAGCAGAAACTTAGTTCTCACAGTTCTGGAGCATGGAAGTCCTAGATCACGGAGCCAGTGTGGCTGGTTTCTGCTGAGAGCTCTCTCCCTTGCTTGTAGATGGCCACTTTCTCGTCATGTCTGCACATGGTTTTTCCTCAGTGCACGAGCACGTGGAGAGAGAGCTCTGGTGTCTCTTCCTCTTTTTATAAGGACACCAATCCTATCGGATCAGGGCCCTACCCTTATGACCTCATTTGACCTTAAGTTCTTCTGTAAAGGCCCTCTCTCCAAATAAGTCACATTAGGGGTTAGGGCTTCAACATATGAATTTTAGGAGGATACAAACATCCAGTCATAGCACACTCCCACATCCCACCCTGCAAGCCAGCCACGAACTACTTATATCTCCTTCTCCCCTCTAGGCTTCTGTATGCTCTATTTCCTCTGCTTGGAACAGCCTATCTCACTCTCTGCCTTCTTCAGCTACATTTATATCTCTTACTTCATTGATTCTTATCTTCCAAGTTACAGCCAAGGTGGCACTTCCTCCGAAAGCCCTCCTCGATTGCCCAGGCTGGGTTGGAGGCCCTCCTCTGAGCTCATACAGTGCCCTGGGATATCCCTACCAAGCACATATATCACACTGGGTCCTAACTGCCTGTAACCACGTCTTTATCATGTACCCTAATCTTAGCAATAGTGATTGGTCCAATGGGTGGGCCCAAGACCCAAGCAGGACCAATCAGGACTTTCCCTGGATTGCTGTATGCAGTCAGCTGCAACCACGCTACTTGCTTCAGCCAATGAACTGCAGATGGAAGTGACCTGCGTCATGGAGCTCATTTAGCTTGCATGACCACCCTGTGAAGAAGGCATTCCTCCCCCATTTTAGACAAGGACACTGAGACGGAGGGTTTATGCAACCCAGCCAAGGTCCAGAGGTAGTCAAGGACAGAGGCAGAATTTGAATCCAGGTCCAGCCCACATGTGCAACCACTACGTGTTACTGCTTCCAAGTTCACCCTGTCTCTTTTCCTTGTGTCATGATGACTGAGGACGCCCCAAACAGAACCTACTCTGTCAGCTGGGGCACTGGAGTCAAGGTGGCATGGACCAGAGCCTCAGCTGCCCCGTGATAGGCATGTTGCATGAACCATAAGTAAACCTTCATTGCCGTAAGTCACTGCGCTATTGGGGGGATGTTTGTTACCGTAGCATTACTAGCCTATCCTGACTGACACAACCCTCTCCTAAAGCCTTAAGAAGGCTTAAATTTGATGTTGTATACAAGTCAATCAGCATAGTGCTTTGCAGGTAGTAAGTGCTCAGTTACTCTAGGATCCTTAACAAGGGTCGAATAGCATAATGAGCAATGCCACTTATCTGTTGTGTGAAACTGAAAGTCATCAACCACTCTATGCTCCGTTTCCTCATTGTACCAGGGAGATAATAAATACCCCCTTCACTGGGTTATGAGATTTGAATAGGTTGAGATTGCTACCGAGCAATGAGCTCGCTCTGCTCGCCGCTATCAGAGCCAATTAACCACAACGAGTTAGGAATTGAGAAACAAAGTTTTCATTCGATTAGCCAGCATAACCAGGAAGATGGTAGACTAGTGTCTCAAAAAACCATCTTCAAAAATTACAGAATCTTGAGGCAGTTATATAGGGAAAATGGGCAGGAAGGAGGGGTTCCAGGGATGTTGGTTTCCAGGCATGATGGGCTTCAGGCATCACATTGTTCCATTCTTCTGTCAGCCGTGATGGATACCTTGTAGGTGTATTCCCCGCCTGTGGTCAGCCGTTTCCTGGAAAGAAACTCGTAGAACAAAGTTTTTAATTTATCAAACTACTGGGGAGTACATGCGTAAGTAGAGGCCATAAATCAGGAGAGCATGTGAATTTTTTAGAGTATGTGCAGAGCAGTGAGTAGTCGCAGAGAGGAGAGGCTGGGGCCATTTAGTGCAAGAAGATGGCCTCACTTATGCTCGCTTGCAATATAAGTACAGCCATTAGAAGAGAATGTGAAAGAAAACACCATCTACCTGTTCGCTATCAATATTATTAAAAACAAGTTATTAGTTCTCCCCTCTTGACCTTAGAATTTGCTGTTCCGTCTGTCCAGAATATCCTTTCTCCTCTATTTCTTTTGGAAAACTCCCATTTTTCTTGCAAGAACCAGCTCTTACAGCCATTCCTGTAGGCAACTTTCCCTTATTCCCACCCAGCCCAGCCGGAGTTGGCAACTCCCTCCCCTGGGTTCCCAGAGGAACGTCCCAGTATCCTAGTGCTGATATTATAATAAGTGCTGTATTGTAGTTATTTGGTAACCGTCTGTCTCTCCCACCCCAGACTCTGCATTTTCCGGGAGATCTCATCACACTATAATTTATGTACAATTTAATTAACCGTTTATTGTGCATTGCTCCCAGGAAACTCTCAGGAAGTTAAGGGAGTGGCTGGACCTGTAGCTTGAAGACGTTTAAAAAACCAAAACAACACCGCTGCCCAAGCAAAAAGCATTTTGGGGCCACTAGCTCGCGACCTCCAAGCTAGAGCCCTTCCCGGTGTAAGCTTCAGTCGGGGCACCAGCTTAACTGAGCGTAACGTGGAGCATCTTGTCACTCGTCTGCAGTAGCCCCGTCCCCGGCCAGCGCGCAGGTGCCGCTGACGTCTTGCGTGCCAGGAGCACCGTTGCCAAGGCGACCAGCGTCTGTTGCCTCCAGGGAAATGCGCCTGCGCCGGAGGGGTTGGGGGAGTGGGAGGGGAAGGCCGGAAACTGTCTTTCCCAGAATCCTCTTGGTTGGAGTGGTGTCTGTTTCAGAGGTTGGAGCCTCTGCTCCACCTCTTCGAAACCGCCCCATGCAAAGCGAACTCTACTGCGCATGTGCTAAAACTGGTATCTTGGCAACGGGTGGCTGGAACATGGAAGTCAAGGTTTCGGCCAATCAGAAGTCGAGCTTTAGGTGCACACCCTCCTACCTTTAACTAGACTGGGTTGATCGTATCTATGGCAACGGATGCATTTGCGGGAGGCAGAGGATTCTGGGAAACGTAGAGAGTGCAGCGGGATCTATCAACCCTTAAACTTCCCTTTGCTCATCTCTCGCTAAAATATATAAGCAACACCCAGTCCCAGATGTTTCCCCGTCAGCTCACAATGGTAGCAAAACGTGTGTTGAGTTGGTCTTCAGTATTTGGAAAAAGCAGTTGCCCATACTACTTATGGAGAGATTTCACATAAAAAATTTTTTAATTTCTGGGTTCTCTTGAAACATCCGAAGATCTGAAAACACTGGATATGTTATCTCACCAGGATGGCAATAAGATGGAGCTGAGTATTTTCTATCCTTTATGATTGTACTTTCAGTTGTTCACTTTATCTACTTAGACCCAGAAGATATTTGAGGTTTCAATCCCAGACCCTGGGAAAAACCACCAAGTTCTTTTCCCTGGCATTTAAAGCCCTTCAGTGTACGAATCAATACTGACTTGGTAGGCTTTTCCCCCCCAACACTACAACTCTCATTTATTCAACAAATATTTACTGAGTGCCTGCTCTGGGTCAAGTATTGTGCTAGGCACTGAATCTTCAGCTAAATTCAGCCTTTCTTATCAACCCTGTCCTTCCCCCCAAACATCCTCATTATCCGAAATTGAATGAGATAGCAACAGTTCTCCTAGCAGGTCCGGAAACAGCATACCATGTTAGCCAGATCTATTTGCCTCCTCTTTGGGTTAGCGAGCAGCAAGAGTTCAGACAGCAAAAGATTTACATGAAAATGTATCTGAATTAGGGCCAGCCCTGTAGCTTAGTGGTTAAGTGCATGCCCTCCACTACTGTTGGACCAGGTTGGGATCCCGGGTGCACACTGACACACTGCTGGTCTGGGCATGGTGAGGTGGTGTCCCACATACAGCAACTAGAAGGATGTGCAACTATGACATACAACTATCTACTGGGGCTTTGGGGAGAAAAAGGGAGAAAAATATGTATCTGAATTGTTAACCTAAAAAGCAAATTTGCCTGTTATTTTATCTCAAAATGAGTTTATTTGGGAATAGCCAAAAGAATTGCAAATTGAGATGTGCATGCTATGGTGAATCATAGGCAAATCCAATAAACAAAGGGAGGGAGCTCCTTTTATAGAGAAAAAGGGGAAGTGGGGAGGGGCTGTTCTAAAGGAAAGTCCATTGGGGGAAAGTAACAGTTCAGGGCAGCAACCGCTTCTCATTGGCTGATCTGCAGCATTTCTCATTGGCTGGGCTGTTGTTGGGTGGGGAGAGAAATCTTCCTTCAGAAGTAAAGTAGTTTTACTTCCTCTCTAGGATACAAGCATCTGTCTCTTCCTGTTTGGTGTAATTGATGATGTGTGATAGGGCACAAGAGCTTCCCCTACAGGCCTTCCTGACTCCTATTTAGATAAGGTTTCTTGTATTAATTTCCACAGAGTGGATTCAGGAACACAGATGGTGAAAATTTAAGAGTTCAGATAGGGAGGGAAACCTGTTTTCCTCACACTGACCACTGTTGTTCCTCTGCCTGACCATCCTCGAGGCTCTCACTATGGTGTCATCTCCTTTAAGAAGCATTCCTCCCTGAAGTAGGAATGGTTGTCCCTTCAAGCCCTCACCATAGGTTGTCCATCCCTCCTGAAGGTTCAAATCACTTCTGGTTTGAATTAGGGTAACTGGTGTCTACAGATGAGTGAGATCTGGTCTCAACCCTTGAGGAGTGTTCAGTCCGCTGTCCAGGGCTGGACACCAATTGGGGGAGGGTCCTCCAGAAACGGATGGAGACACTTAGGAATTTGTCATAGACTTTATTAAACTTCTTTTCCTTTCCCCTTACAAACCCCAAAAGCACAGCCCTACTGTAGCAGGAGTTTGCGGTTGCGCCTGTATGTAATAGCCCTGGTCAGAGAGAAAAAGCCTGGAGGTTAGAAAGAGAACTTCAGGCTCCTTGAGGTCAGCCCACCCCCTTAAAACTTCCCTCCAATCATCGGCCTCATTTGGCTCAGCCAGTGACATCACGGGTCTCTGGGCAGATTTCCAGGGTGCTCAGCCAATCGGTGTTGGTACATGAGGCGCCGGGAGAGAAAAATTGGGACTGATAGTGAGGGTAAAATTTGGAAACAGAAAGAGTGGAAGAAAACAGGAGGAGACTCTGAGAGACACAGACACAGGGAGAGAGACTCAAAGAGAAGGGAAAGACAGAAAGAGAGAGAAATGAGGAAAGGAGAGAAGCAGGCGTAATGGGTTGAACTGTGTCCCCCCAAAAGATATATCCAAGTTCTAATGCCCAGGACCTGTGAAAGCGACCTTATTTGGAAACAGGGTCTTTGCAGATATAATTCAGTTAAGGTAAGAGGGGATCACTGCGGATTTAGGCTGGACCCTACATTCAAAGACTGGTGTCCTTATAAGAGAAAAGAGAGGGAGATTTGAGACACAGACATGGAGGAAAAAGCCACGTGAAGATAGAGGCAGAGATTGGAGGGAAGCCACCAGCCAAGGATGCCAGCGGCTACCAGAAGGCAGGAGACAGGTATGGAATGGATTCTCTTTCAGAACCCCCAGAAGGAACCAACCCCGCCAACCCCTTGATTTTGGACTTCTGGCCTCCAGAACTCTGAGAGAATAAATTTCTGTGGCCTTAAGCCACCCAGTTTGTGGTCATTTGTTACAGCAGCCATAGGAAACTAAGACACAGGGAGGCAGTGGGGAGAGTTCTGCAATAGAGAGACCAAGAGATGAGACAGAACTTGGGCAAGAGGCTGAGGGAGAGAGAAACAGAATTCAAGGCAGAAAGGGAAATCCAGAGGCGGGAGAGGGGAAGACAGAGCGAGACGGAAACAAATACAGAATGAAGACAGGCAGAGAGGTTCAAACATGGGGCAGGAGGAGGGCGAGCTGGAGAAAGAGAGGGAAGGAGAAAAGGGAAGGGAGGTAGCAGCAGGGGGAGAGATTTAAAGATGCAGAGAGGGGCTGACAGACAGGGAGCGAGTCTGCGGGGTGTGCGGGGCGGGAGTCAGAAAGAGAGACCCGGAGATAGGGAGAGACATTTAGAGACAGAAGCAGAGAGAGACTGAGAGACACAGATTCATCCTGAGGGCAGGGGAGGGGAGGCAGAGGATGGCAGAATCGGGACTGGGACAGAGGAGGGGCGGAGAAAGCCCAGCGGGAGAGTTTCAGAGAGGGAGAGAGACGGGGACTGGACGGAACAAGCTCACGGTGAGAGCGGACACTCATTGTGCTCAGTGCTGGTGTAAAGCTCACCACCCCTGAGAGGGAGGTACTGGGATTATCCCAGTTTGAATATGAGGACGCTGAGGCATTAGGGAAAGGAGGGTAGGGGGCCGGGGGAGAGAAATGGAGCCAGAGAGAAGCGGAGAGGGGCTGGAGAGGAGGCGAGTGGGGGACAAGCAGACAGAGGCAGGGAGAAACGCTCAGAGGAGGTTGAGTCAAGCTTCTCCCCTCAGACCAGGGGCTCCGTGCTCGGGGCCCATGGAGATGTTTTCATTTTAAATACTTTGAAAAGCAGAAGAAAATAAATGAATATAACAATGATGCTGCTGCTCAAGAATATATAATAACCTATCCAGCCTGGGTTATATCTATCTTCATACCAGCACATTCACAAAATAGAATTTGTAGTATTTTTTTATGGAGGAAGAGACCCGCGAAGGCAAAAGTGCTGAGGACCCAGGAAAGACATAATGTGGTCCAGGGATGGGGGGAAGAGGAGACGACAGAGAAAGAGAGATGGACAAAGAGATAGAGATGAGAGAGAGAAAGAGAAGAGATGGAGAGGGGGAAGGAGAGACAGAGAGAAAAGGGGGAGAGAGAAAAAGGGAGAGACAGGGAGACAGAGCCAGATATATCAAGTGACTGGGGAGGACTCGCCCAAATGACACAGTGACCGATCCAAGGCAGTGCCAGTTTTGAGGGGCCCGGTGGGGGTCTCAGGAGAGGGTAGGGATGACTCACGAAGCCACGATGACCCCGAAGAGGAAGACAGCCAGACACACGGAAATGATGATGCCGAACAGGGCCTGATTCCACGGGTACCCACTCGCCTTCTGGTACTGCAGGTCCATGCGGGGCTGCCCGTCGACTGGGGCGGGTGGGGGAGACAGCCCCGACCTCCAGGTCACCACCCTTCCCTGGCCTCGCACCCACCCACCTGCTCACTCAGCAGTCTGGGCCTCTCTCTCCTGCCTCGCTCCGTGGCCCCTGCCTTCTCCCGGGGTGTGACTCTCCATTCATCCATTCTTCAAGTTCTGTGTCCCAGGCTCGGTTCTAGGCGCTCAGGACACTGCCGTGAACTCTATTGGTGAACATCCCTGCCCTCGCGGCGCCGACAGTCTACACAGCACGTCACAGTGAACAGCCAAGAGCCCAGCGCTAAATGCATCTCATTGGATGCGGGTGCAGGGAGGACTTGGGTAGTTCGACTGCCCGGGAACATGAGAGGGGGATGCAAAATGCAGACAATCTCACGACAAGAGGAAAGTCAGCCTACATCTTAGCTGGTGACTCGGAACGTGGCCTTGTCTTCTGCATCTTCCCCCAGCAAAGCTCCTTGGCTCGACTTTCAAAACGTACCCAGAATTTGATCCACTTGGGCCAGCCCCCAACATTCGCTCCTCTTAGGGGTCTCCTCTAGTCTCCTCACCCTACAATTCCCCAAATGGCCGCCAGAGGGCGCCTGTGAACACCTACGTCCCCTTGCGACCCCCTTCCACCGCGGCTCTCCTCTTATTCAGAATAAAAGCCCAAGTCCTCGCCATGGTCCCCCAGGCCTCGCAGGATCTGGGCACCATGTGACTAGCTACCCTACTACCCTCCTCTTCACCCACTCGGCTCTGGCCACACTAGCTTCCTTCTTGTTGCTGAACCATCTTGGGTCTTTGCTGTTGCTGTTCCCTCTATCCTTCACACTGTTCCCTCACTCCCTCACTTCCTTTAGATCTCAAATATCACGTCTTCAAAGAGGTCCCCACCCTGCACTGTCTAAAGTAGCACTGCTCCTCGCCCCAGGCACTTTCTATCAACTGTTCTGTTCTGTTTTCATTAGAGCACTATTGCTATCTGGAATTAGCCCATTTATTTGCTCATGTAATTATCATCTAACAGCGGCTCTCAGCTGGGGACAATTTTGTTCCCCAGGGGACATTTGGAAAAGTCTGAGGACTGGAAATGATTGTCACGACTTTGGGGGGGGGACTACTGGCATCTATTGGATGGAGGGGAAGGGTGCTGCCGAGCACTCTACAATACACAGGATGGCCCTCATCACAAAGAATCATCCAGCCCCACGTGTCAATAGTGCCAGAGAAACCCTAGTCTAACCCTTGACCCCACTAAAATGCGGGCTCTATGAGACATTTGTTTCCCATTCTGCTGATCCTCAGTTAGGGGTATCATAGGGTGCTCAAAATACTTGTTTTAGTTAAATGTCATCCTAAGGGAGAAAATAGATGAATTCTTTCTTTTCAACTAGTCAATGTCATGGGGGAAAAACTGATAAGAGAAACTCTTCTAGATTAAAAAAAGAAGTGAAAAAACGTAGCAATTGAATCATGTGAGAAGTACTTTCATTGGAGCCTGGTGTGAATGAATCCACTGTGAAAGATACTCTGGGGACAACTGGGGAAGTTGGAATTATTTGATGTTGAAGAATTGTTGTTAGGTTGTTGGATGTGGGAACAGCATTGTGGTTATGCAGGAAATGTCCTTATTTTTAGAGGTACACATTATTTATGGGTGAAATCTCATGATGCCTAATTTCTTTTAAAACACTATGCAATAAATAAGTGAAGCCAATGTGGTGGAACATTCATTGTCAACATAATTTGATAGAAAGTGCAACTTTAGAGAGTGTGGTTAGGGGGTCCTCTCTGAGAAAGTGGACTTTGAGACTTTATTGACATGAGGGAGTGAGAGGAACAGGGTGACAGAGAGAGGGAACAGCACGTGAAAATGTTCAGCATAACTATTGAATCTTGATGGATATATGGGGGTTCATTGTGCTATTATCTCTGCTGTAAGGATATATATTTTTTAAATCTCTGAATGAATGAATGAATGAGCCATTCCAGCATTAGAAGTATTGTAAAGTTACAGAGGCGTCTTCCCATTCAATAACAGGGGGAAAGTAAATTTCAGAATATGGAAGCCACTTCTGGGCCACACTGTGAGTGAGTGTTAAGGGCAGTATTCAAGGCTGCATGTGGGAGACCTCAAAACCCACATCCACTGGGACATGGCTGTCTTCATCTCTCATGCCTCTGTTCCCTGTCTTCCCTGACCCCCAGGAGCTTACCGAAACAGTATTTTTCTTTGATACATTTGGGACTGATCTTCTGGCAGTGTAAACAGTCCAAGACCTCTTCTTTTAGCAAGCCTGGACAAAGGGAAAGGGAAACGGGAGAAGAGGGATGAGGGCAGACATCAGAGGACTGGCAAGGGGCAGGAAGGCAGAAGAGGAAGAAGGAGATGGAGTCTATTGTCCCTCCTGAATTTGGAGGTCCCATGGGCAGCAGAGCAAGCAGACCAAAATGCACTAACAACCCACATTAAAAATAATTTTTCTATAGTCATTGAAGAGTTGAATTGATTGCAGATGTCCAGTGGACCCAACATTCTGTTTGGAGACATTTAATTAATTAAGCTAAACAAATGTTTAATTAAACATCTCCAAACAGAATGTTTGCACGGGTCTATTTCTATTTTGCAGCCCCCTGTGGCATAGACCGGCTGGATGCTCACCCCTCTGTCTCCTCCTCTTCCTGCCGCACAGGAAGACTACATTTCCCAGGCTCCTCTGCAGTAGGCTGCAACCATGTGACCGAGTTCTGGCCAATGGAAAGTGGGCAAAGGGATGCTGGCCAGCTCCAGGCTTGGCCATAAAAGTCCTTATGGGTTTCCCTATTGTCTCTCTCTTCTGAAGCTAGCTTAGAAGCCACAACGTGGGTGCAGCCTGGACCCCTGAGTCACCCCTTGGAAGAACTGCTCAACTCTCAATGGAATTTAGGTAGGAGAGAAATAAACCTTTCTTTTGTGAAACCACCGTGATGTGGGGTGGGGGGGGTATTTGTTACTAGGACATAGCCTATCCTATCCTGACTAACATCCCCCTAAAATACTTTTTTGCAGGTTGCAACCACTTTCATAAGTCTTCAAAAATCAGATATCCCTGGGTACTATGTCTTTGGGGTGGGGGGACCCACTAGATGGAGTAGGTGTGATAGCGGGTCTTGATTTGGGGGAGACGGGTAAAGAGGTGTAGGAGGGTAGACAAGGGAGGGATAGACAATAAATCCAGGACTCACGGCAAATTTTGCGATCGCAGGCTGCAAGAGAAAAGAGCTGAGGTGAGTTAGGTTGGGACAGCAGTTTGAGAACTTAATGGGAAGAGACCCAGCAGAAGGAGGGAGGAGGCAGGGGGTCTGGGAAAGGAGAGAAGGGAATATTGGGGAGAGGCAGAGAAGCGGAGCCCTGTACCTTTTATTTCATAAGATCTTAAGGCTTTCTTCAGTTCCTTGATCACCCTCTCCCTAACAGCCACCAGTTCTTCCAGCAGAGGCCCGTCTGAGGAGAGAAAGCGATCCTGGTGGGGTGGGGGGCCCCCAGCAAGCCCACCCCATCTGCAGCCTCAAAGAGAAGGAATGAGGAGGCTCCTTTTTCACTCACCAGGAGTAGCCAAGACCAGATGTTACTCGGGGTCCCCTGGCAAATGTATGGCCTGGGAGGCCCAGCATCCACTGTGGGGCCCCAGGCTAAACCGCCCTCCCCTGGCCTCAGTTGCCTCATCTGGTAAGTGGCAGAAGGATGGACTCAGTCACCTCTCCTCTCCTGTCCTCCGATCTGCTCCTCCCTCCTCCTCTTTTCTCTGTCTACACTCACTCCTTCATGATTTCCTCTAGCCTCATGAAATATTTATATGTTACCTAGACCTACACTGCCCCATATGGCGGCCACCAGCCATACATGGCTATTGAGCATGCGAAGTGGGCTGGTCTGAATTGAGATGCACTGTTAATATAAAATATCGGCTGGGTTTCGAGGACATGGGACAAAAAGAAATAACTGTAAAATGTCTCAAAAATTTTTATGTTGATTGCATGTTGAAATGGTCATACTTCAGGTATTGGGTTAAATAAAATATATTAAAATCAATTTCATCTGCTTCTGTTTACCTTTTAAAAAATGTGGCTACTAGAAAATTTAAAATTCCGTATATGACCCCTCTTTGTGGTTTTTCCATTTTTTCCATTGGACAGCGCTGTTCTATATACATGGATGCCTACCTTGTAAATATCACTAGCCTAGACCACTCACTGAGGTCCAGATGCATTGATCCAACTATCCACTCAGGACCTCCATGCGGATATCTAACAGGCATCTTAAACTCAGTAAGTCCAAGAACGAACCCGTTATTCTCCCCCAAACCTATTCCCAACCCCCAAGTCTTCTCCATCTTAGTAGATGGAGGGGCCGTGATCCTAGTTGCTCAGGCCAAAATCCTTGGCGCCATCTTTGACCCCTTTCTTCTTCTCACATCCCACATGCAATCCATCAACATGCATGTCAGCAAATCCTGTTTGCCCAATGTTCAGGGCAGATCCAGGAATCCGATCACTTCTCACCCGCTCCACTGGTTCCAGCCACCATCATCTCTTGCCTGGGCCATGGCCACAACCTTCTCCCTGGTCTCCCAGCCTTCCCCCTGGCCCTGCTAAAGTCTATTCTCCACAGCCAGAGGGACCCTATTAAAACCTGTCAGCTCACTCGCATCCCTCTTCTGCTCAGAACCCTCGCATGTGACCCAGAATAGAAGCCAAAAGTCCTTACAGTGGCCTAGAAGGCCCCACCCGATCCACCTGTCCACTCGCCCTTACCTCTAGGACCTCATCTTCCACATCCCTCCCTCTCCCTCTCTCCACTCCAGCCTCCCTGGCCTGCTGGAGGGTCTGTGAATCTGCCAAACATAGTCCCATCTCAGGGACTGCACTAGCTGTTCTTTCTGCCTGCAGCCTTCTACCCCAGACCCCTCATGGCCGCTTCCCCTCTCCTTCAGGTCTTTACTCACAGGCTGACTTCTCAGTGACATCCTTGGCTGCCCTACTTTAAAGTGTACCCCCACCCCTACTCCCAGCGCTCTGTATCTCCTGGTCCTCGTCCCCGCTTTATTTTTTTCTCCATAGTATTTGTCCCCATTGAACATATTATATTGTGCAGTGAAGGGATAACTCAGCAGGTCTGGGTCGTCCAAACCCTGCATATTCCAAAAAAAGGTTTGACTCTTGCCCGGCTCCTGGGAGGGGACCTCTGAGTCCTTGGAATATCCTGCCTGAGAAGAGTGTCTTTACTTGGGAGCCTTGGACCACATCGGATAGTTTATGCAAACAGCGTGACTGATGGTGGGGCTTTGGGCCACGTGGTAGCAGGGTGACCTCTGGAGGGGCTGGAGAGTAACTACGGTCAGTTTCACAGACACTCCACGCAATGTGACTGACCCCCCCCCCAATAATATAATAACAGTCGGTAAAATGATTGCCTTGGGCCCTTCAAAAACGTCAGTGTCATAAAAGACATGGGAATGCAATGTGTGATCCCAGAAGAGATCAAGGATTGAAAGAAAACTAGTGACAAAAGGCATAATTGAGACAATTGGGGAAATTGGAATGAGGATTGAATATTAGATGTAGTGTGGAATGGATGTTAAATTTCCTAGTTACGCTCACTGAGTAAGAGAATGTGCTTCCTTGTTCTTAGGAGATCGCCCGCTGAAGAATTTAGGGTTAAAGTCTCGTGATGTCTGCCACCAACTCTCAAATGGTTCACACACACACACACACAGCAAATGTGGCAATATGTTCACATGCGGTGAAATGTTGACAAATGGTGCATAGGTAGTCATTGTACTATTCTTCCAACTTTTCTATCCATTTGAATTTTTTCAAAATATAAAAAATCACCTTTTTAAAAGGTGAGCGCTTTAAAAATTACTGATGTTCAGACCCAGTCTCTGATCCTCTGATTTAATTGGCATGGGCTGCTGTCTGGGCTTCTGGGTTGTTTTAAAAGCTCCTCAGGAGATTCCAACGTGCAGCCTGAGTTGAGACCTGCTGCTCTAAACTCTTGCTGTTAAGGTCTAAATAGTCCATGTTTTCGGCTTTGAGTGCCATACGGTCACTGTCAAAACTACCCAGGAGAACAAAAGCTGCCGCAGACAATACGTAAATGAATGGGTGTGGCTGTGTACCAATAAAACTTTATGTACAAAAACAGGAGGCTAGCAGATTTGACCCGCCGGCTCTATTCCCATCCCTGCTCTAGACAGAGAGGCAAGACCCAGCATCATAATCTTAATAGCTAACATTTATTGAGCACTTACTGTGTGCCAGCCTTTGTTCTAAATGCACATGCACCATCTCATTCACACTTCTCAGTGACTATGAGGTGCGCCATTATTCCCACTTTACAGATGAGGACACTGAGGCACAAAGAGGTTAAATAGCTTGATGAAGGTTAGCCTGGCTTTGAACCCAAAGCAGTCTACCCTCAGGGCCTCCCCTCTAACTTCTACACTTCTCTCCAAAGTCTAGAATGAGAACCCAACCCCCGCCCCAGCCCCCCAGCTGAGGATGGTGTTCCCGTGTTTATTTCTGTTTAATTCCCCAGGAAAGGGCCTGAGTCTGGTCAAAGGGGACTACATATGTCTGTGGTTTTTTTTTTAAATAACTTTATTGAGATATAAGTCACATACTATACAATTCACCCATTTAACATGCGCAATTCAATGACTTTTAGTATATTCACATATTTCTGTAACCATTGCCACAATCAATTTGAGAATATTCATTACCCCTAAAGGAAACATTGCACCCCTTAGCATGTATGGTTTTTAAAAATTTCGTAGTCACTAAATGGTAGGGTAATTCTAAAAAAATGAGATAAAATTTATTTTTTTCACATTATTAAAATGATTATTATTTCCTGATTCTATGACTATTACATATTCGTTATAAAAAAAGACCAGGCAAACCTCCAACGACTAACCCCTGGAACGGTGCCCCAGGAGCCCCTGCAGACAAAACCAGAGAGACCCCCGTGGAGTGGCAGTTAGGTAGATAATATCGGAGCCGGATGTCCCAGGTTCAACTGCTCAGCTCTGTTACTTTCTAGCTGTGTGACTTTGAGCCAGCCGCCCAACCTCTCTGAGCCTCAGTCTCCCCCTCTGTCAAGGGTAAGATCACAACCGTGCCCACGGTGATGAACTGTCCTCGACTTTTCCAAGTAAAGCACTTAGAACCCAGCCAGACACACAGTAAGGGCGATCCGTGCTTGCTTTTATTTTTATATCCAGAGGAGGCGTGGTGGACCGGTGCAAAGGGAGGACGGGGAAGGGGGCTGAGAAAGGCTTTCCCTCTTAACTCCTACCTCTCAGAGAACTCGACCTTAAGTTGCCTGTTTGATTCTTGACAAAGGCCGCCACAAGTTCCAGCTGATCGATTCCTGGGGGCGAAAAGGGAGGAAATTCCAGTAGGTCCCTCAGCGAGCCAAGAGATCGCCCATCTTCCTCCAGACCTGGCCGCGCCCTGCCCCTCTTGGGGGCGTGGTCCCCAGAGCATCAGTCTCCCACCAGCCTCGGGCTCCCCCACTCGTCCCCTTGCCCCCAGCACGCACCCACTTTGCCCACAAACGCGTTGAGCGCGTAGTCCCGGAAGAAAGGCCCCTCCATGCCCAGCAGCAGGGCCTGGGCGCGCGCCCGCAGCCGCTCCCGGTGGAAGCGGGCGGGGAGCAGCGCGGCGCGCAGCCGGTCCAGGGCCTCCCGCGCCGAGCGGTCGCACTGCAGGCAGCCCCGGGCGCCGCGGGCCAGCAGCCCCCAGAGCAGCACCAGCGCCCAGCCCGGAGGCATGGCCGGGCCTCTGTGACGTCACACAGGGAACCCGGCCGGCCCCGCCCCCAGGGGAGGGCGGCGCCCGGGAGGCCCGGGGGGAAGCGCCGTGCGCAGGCGCGGGTTTGCGGCGCGCTTGTGCGCCAGTCGTGGTTCCAGGAGCTCAGCCAGGCGCTGGAGGTGGACGGAATACGCTGGACACGCTCCCGGCTCATGGAGTGCGGTCTAGCAGGGGTGGGGGGAGGAGAAATGTAAACCCGGTAAACAGATCAGTAAATAAGATAATGACAAACTGCATTGAGAGCTGGGAAGCGAAGAAGCAGTGGGATAAGAGGAGGGTGTTCCTGGCTGGCAGGCTAGGCAGGGGTTTGTCTGTTGGGATCCCTTCTTTAGTCCAATGCCTGGTATGTCCCAGCTGCTCAATAAATATCGAATGCAGTGAATCCACAGGAGAGGGGACAGGGAAGGAAATGTCCTCTGTTTTTGCCCCTGGAATTTTTCTTTTGCAAATCAAATCTATAGAAATGTTGCAAGAATGGTACGAGAAACACTTGAACACTTTGCATTCGCTCTCTCTCTCTCCACTTATAATACATTATATAGAGATTAATTAAATGTTAATTTTGATTAAAAATGGGCAAAGCTCTTCAAGAGACGTTTCTCCAGAGAAGACATACAAATGGCCAATAGGCTCATGAAAAGATGCTCAACATCACTGAGCATTAGGGAAATGCAATCAAAAACAATGAGATGCACCTCACATCCATTAGGATGGCTAGTATCAAAAAAAAAAAAAAATAGCAAGTGTTGGCCAGGATGTGGAGGAATTGGAACCCTTGTGCACTGTCAGTGGGAATGTAAAATGGTGCAGCTGCTATGGAAAACAGAATGGCAGTTCCTCAAAAAAATTAAAAATAGGATCAATATATGATCTGGCAATTTCACTTCTGGGTGTATACCCAAGAGAATTGAAAGCAGGGACTCCAAGAGATATTGGTACACCCACGTTCTTAGCAGCGTTATTCACAAAAGCTGAAACGTGGAAGCAACCCTGGTGTCCATCGACTAATGAACGGATAAACAAAACGTGGTATATACGTACAATGAGATATTATTTGGTCTTAAAAAGGACGGAAATTCTGATACACGCTACAACATGGATGAACCTTGAGGTCATCATGCTAAGTGAAGTAAGCCAGTCACAAAAAGACAGACTGTATGATTCCACTTATATGAGATATCTGGAGTATTTAGAGTGGTCAAATTCACACTCGGTGTTACCAAACCAGGCTCACCTTGCCCACCGCACAGTATGCCAATCACCCAGATGGTGAGTTTGCAGCAGAGAAAGGGTTTATTCACAAGGCGGCCAAGTGAGGAGACGGGAGAACAAGTCTCAAATCTGCCTTCCCGAATATGGGGATTACGGATATTTGTGGCATAGAGGGGCAGGGTGATGTGAAGAGTGGAGATAGATGATTGGAGGTGAGAACAGGTGAGGTCATTGGTGATCTGCACAAGTGTACTCAAGCTTCATGGCTCTTCATAGGACGCACTTCACAAAATGGTGGCGTTAGTATGATCTGAGGGTGGAGTTTTCAGCTCCCTGACATCAAAGGGTCACCTACTGGGCATTCACAAAGGCCCAGTTGATGAGTCAGTGGCCCTAACCCATCTGAACTGGACAAGCAGTCAACTCTCAGTGCCTGAAAAACAACTTAAGCACCCCACCCATTACCATGGTGACCCAAGCATCAGAGATGTTATCTGTAGGGTGGGCTTTAGTAACGCATTATCTACCTACTTTTGCAAACTGACAACTAACTGAGTATAGTTAAAGCAAGTCGGCCTCTGGTTTCATCAGGACATTTAACATTGGTTTGATGGGTTCAACCATATTCCGACTTTCCCAAATGCCACCTAACTCTTCTCTGCTTCGATATCACCTCCTCCAAGAAGTCTTCCCAGATTACCCCCTGTAAAGAATGTCTGCCTCTGTTACTCTCTATTTTCAGGTTCAGCAAATGCTTTCTGTATAGGGCCATACTTTTAATATTTTAGGCTTTGTGGGCCATAGCTCTCTTGCTATTTTAACAGGAAAGCAGCTACAGACAATGTGGAAATGAATGGGTGAGGCTGTGTTCCAAGAAAATATTATTTATGGACACTGAAATTTGAATTTCATATAATTTTCATGTCACAGAATATGATTTTGACAATTTTCAACCATTTAGAGATGTAAAAACCATTCTTAGTGTGGGGGCCATAGTTTGCCATTAATTCTAACTCATTATCCTGTTGGTTTCTGTCATAGCATTAATTACAATTTATAATTCTTTTTTTGTGTGTGTCTCTCTCCCATATCATCCAATAAACCCCTTGAGGCCGGGAACCCTGTGTATCTTGCTCACCATTATGTGTCCGACCCCTAGAAGGAACCTGGCGTACAACAGGTGTTCAATAAATATTCCTTGAGGGACGAATAAAGAAAAAAGTCAGTTTCCCTTACTGAGCCTCAGTTTCCTCCAATGTAAAATGGGGATAATAATACACCTGCCTTATCCCAAGGGTGAAATGTTGTAAAAAATGTTTGCACTGTCCAGTGTGTAAGTCACTGGTCACGTGTGGCTTTGAACACTTGAAATGTGGTGTGATTGAGAAACTGAACTTTTTATTGTAATTAGTTTAAACTTAAATTTTTAAAAAACAGATCTTTGATTCAGTTAGTGGGAAACCTTTAAACATGTTTAGAACAACTTTAGTATGTGAATCTGCTTCTTCAACTATAAATGTTATAAAATCTAAATAGAGATCGAGTATTTTTGATGAAAATTTAGTGTCCGAATTGACATATGCTGTCCTGAGAACATTTTGAAGCCTTACTACAAAAAGTTAAAATATCTCATTAACAATTTTTATATTGGTTGCGTGTTGAAATGACAATATAGTGGAATATTGAGTTAAATAAAATTTATTAATACAATTAATGTGCCCTGTTTCTTTTTACCTTTTTAACGTGGCTGGTAGAAAGTTTGAAATTACAGGTGGGCCTCACATTATATTTCGATTGGGCATCGCTGGTCTAGCATACAGATGGTGCCCAATACATATTTTTGAATTGAATTAGATGTGATTAAATTAGCTGGGGGTTAATGAGGGGAAAAGAATCCCTCAGGGTGTAATGGGACGATTAGACCACAAGGGGGTGCTCGCACCTGGGTGCAATTCCTCTCCCCCAGCAAAAAGAGGCTCACCCTTGGCTTCCTGCTCTCCTTGCCTACCTTTGCCAGAATTAGCCATTTATAGTAGTTAACTGTGATGGAGACCATACTTTGAGACATGAACTCACGTGTCTTTTCCTCTTCCTCCATTACCATGCCCTGTGCAAGCAGCGAGCCAGGGGGGTGTAACTAGCCATTCATAGGAGTTGCCAGAATGGGATGGAAAACAAAGGCACAGGGGGTGGGGGGACGCATATCCCTCAACATCTAAGCCCCCAAATCCAGGTGTGAGGCAGGAAGAATCAGGAAGAACTGGTTTTGTTTTTCTGCTGATGCAGCCACGCTACCGTGCACTTTGGTGAAACTCAGTTAAATGAAGTAACCACAGATTTCACAGCCCAGCAATTCCCCTCTCTTCCGCGAAGAGGCTGGAGCTCTCGCGCTTGCCAAGATGTTCATCACAGCGTTGTTTATGGCGGAGAGGGAGGGGTCAAAGGCAACCTGGTGTCACTGGGGGAGGAGGTCCCCGTGGGTGTCCAGGGCGGAGGACTCTGCAGTGGTAGGAAGAAACAGACCAGGCTGAGCCAGGGTGACAAAAATAGATCTGAGTGAAAACAGCCACAGGCAGAGTGAGACCTACAACCCAATACCCTTGATATAAATTTAAAATTCTTACATCCCAAACGAAAAATATACAATGTGGAAGAACACCTACAAAAAAAGGATACACAATATACACCATAGAAAGGCGGCTCTGGCAGGGAAGAAAGAGTAGGTGGTGAGGGCAAAATGGAATAAGTAAATAAGAGATAAATAAAACGAACACTGGGTTTTTGTGTGAACCAGCTGGCTCAGGGGACTGCTGGGGTCGGACTGCCTGAGTTTGGATCAATTAATTAATAATTAAGCTCTGCCACTTTAATTATTGGGTGACCTCAGGCAAATTAGATAACATCGTTGCACCTGGGTTGTCTCATCCATCCCATGGGATAACAAGAGTCCCTACATTACAGGGTTTTCCCGAGGATTAAATAACATAAAATGTATAAAGAGTTTAGAACAGTCCATAGCAAGCGCTAAGTGCTGGCTATTTTTGCAAGTTTTATGAACCGAAGATTATGATTTACTTAATCTGCAGCTGAGATTGTTAAAAATAGAAGGGAAAGGGGGATCTCCTCCGAGCTGGGGAGGGGAGAGAGATTTGGGAAAGACAGAAAACAACAGATTTGGATGTGAGCGTGGGGTGTTCTGAGTCTGGCAGGGGTGAGGGGATGAGGGAGGCCTGCAGGAGTCAGCGCGGGCTGGGTTATGCTGCTGTAACAGGCAGTCCCAATGTCTCAGTCGCTTGAAACAACAACCTTATCTTTCAGTCCTGTCATGACGGTTAGCTGGTCAGGACTCTGGCAGAGGGAAACAAAGAAGAAAACCTACCGTCATTCTTATATGCTTCCACCCCCGAATGACATCTGCTCATCGGCCAAATAGAACCACACGGCCACACCACTCTTCACGAGAATGAGGAAGAGGGATCCTTCATGCACCTGGAAGGGTTGAGAGCTGCAATATTTGTGAGCAACTTGAGTACCCGGCTCAAAGCCCTCTTTAAGCTGAGGGACCTGAGAGCTGAGACCACTTGTCCTGCAAGTCTGGGGCTGGCTCAGAGAGAAGACAAGTCTGCCAGAGAAGTTCCCTCCTGCCATCATGTTGGGACAGTGTAAGAGTCACCTAGTGCTGCATAACAAATGACCCCAAAACACAGAGCCTAAAAACAACAATGAGCGTT